CGGGGTTAAATGCAGTCCGAGCTGATCATGTCCCAGGCCCTCAGCGTTCGGGGCCACATCGTGAGTAGGGACTGTCGTTGGGAGTGTACTCTGGGCAGGGACCATATCCTGTTGCACAGTTGGGGGACAAACGAACATGGAAGGGCATAAAACATGGTGCTGTGGCTGTGTGCAAGCAGCTGGACTGTCTGCAGGAGGCATAGGAGCGGATGTATCCGTTTGGGACAACGGAACTATATATCGTCAAAATTGGTCAAACATACAAGGCTGGTCCCCAGGCGGCCCAGCTGGGGGAAGGTCGCCTGGGTACCGTCCCAGGCGGGCAGCGGCCGTGCAGAGTCCCGGGCAGCCCCAGCGTATAATATTAAAAAAAATAAAAAATGAAAAAAATGAAAAAAATGAAAAATCTGGAAAAAATATGTTGTATAAAATTGCGTACAAGCAACTTTTGGCTGAGGGTCCCCTGAAAATTCCTTATTAATTTTAAGATAAAAATAAATGAGGAGACATGAGGTAAGATATACCGTTTTAAGTTTTAAACCCCTCTAGTCACTGTTTAGACTCTGGAGTAACTTTATACCCCCCAAACACTCCTGGGTGACCCACCACCGAAATGGAAGGTAAGGCCGGATTCTGACTGCTCAGGCCGAGCGAAGTCCTGGCCTGAAGTCAGTTTCTTTTTTTTGGAAGTCAGTTTCTTTTTTTTGGAGATCCTTCCCTCTTTTTTGACCTGCCTAGTTTTGCCGGGCGATCCCCGCCGACCCAGCTGGCCCAGGCATGCCTGGCCGGGCAACGGCCCAGCCTAGCAAATATATACATATATATTGTCACATATCTATGAACTAAACGACCAGACTTTGTGAAACAAACGGTAAAAGTAACAAAACAACAACCAGTTCAGACAAGCCAAGTTCACCCAACCCAACCCCTGCGCCTGCCCGGCCTGAAACGTCACTCCTACAAGGACTTGGATTGAAATATAATGCATTCGGCTCGGAGCTTACGTTTTTCATGGGCCAATGTGGCTAAACCATTTTTGTAATCATATTATCTACAACTAAGAACATTTAAAATTCCCAGCAAAAAGATAATTCTCCTGGCAATTAGCATTCAAAGTGTCTCGGTTGATGGTTACTCTTCTTGTGTGTGGACTTCGAAACCCGTTTCGAGCATTACTTCATCCATTTTTGATTTGGTGGAGATATCCACAGGAGAGGCAAAGCTGGTGGGAGAGGAGAGGAGAGGAGAGGATCCGTCTGTGATTTGGTGGAGATATCCAGACGAGAGACAAGCTGAAGGGAGAGGAGAGGAGAGGAGATTTATGATTGGCACTCATTGCATTCGTGTCGACGATTACTCTTCTTGTGTGTGGGCTTCTTAAACCACCTTTCGGCGGCCGGTACCGCTTTGAAGGCCACCGTTGGAATTTGTCAACGGCGGCCCCGCCTCACCCAGCCCCGACTTTTCCAGTTGTGGCAACAAGTTTCTTTCCGCAAGGCCGGGGCCGTGTACTGGTGGTTTAATGCAAGTCAAGCATTACGAACGCGGGTGCCATAAGCATGACAGCAAGGATATTCACATATCCATATTCGCATACCCTTGATGAGATATCTATCCTCCATATCATGACGTGGCCGATGTATACAACAAGCATTGGGCACAGCGGAAGTGTTGGAAGAGGGGTTGCGTCACTGGCTAAAGCATGACTAAGCAACGGAGGGTGGACAGGTGTGATGAGGGGGGAGAGGGAGGGGGGAGGAGAGGGGTGCAGGGGAGGGAAAGCAGAACCAAGCCACTCACCTCTCCAGCTCCAAAGAAAAGATACCTCTGCTCGTGAAGGGCCTTGCCAGTCATTGGCCTCGCTGCCATTAAGCCAGCTAATGCGACCGATGCTGTACCCTGCATTCACTACCAACCAATGCACGAAGTTGAGGGTTCAGGGGCAATTTGATAAAAGCCTCTCAGGGGAAGTTTGATAAAGTCATCTGCAAGGTTCAGGGGCAGTTTGATAAAGTCATCTGCAAGGTTCAAGGACAGTTTGATAAAGTCATCTGCAAGGTTCAG